CACAGAATGGAGGACAATGGCTAGAAGGGCCATATCAAGCAATTCACTGCAGTCATGTTGCCGGAAGAGACCATTCCCTGGAGAAGGATGTCATGCTTGGTAAGGTAGAGGGTCGACGGAAGAGGAGAAGGCCCTCAACGAGATGGATTGACACTGTGGCAGTGGCGATGGACTCAAGTATAGCAAGAATTATGGAGCTGGCTCAGGACCAGCAGTGTTTCATTCTGTTGTGCATAAGATCACTATGAGTCAGAGACGACCCAACGGCACCTAATAATAATAAAATATATGAGTCAGAAACAACTCAATGGCAATGAGTTTGGTTTGGTTTTTTGGAGATGTAGTTCTGTAAACGTTAGAGCCAAGAAAACCTTATGGAACAATTCTACTGTGTAACACTTGAGATCATTGTGAGTCAGAACAGACTTGACAGCAATGGGTTAGGTTTGTTTTTTGGGGATTCCAACAGGGAGTAACTGAGGAGGAAAAGAACATTCTTTATGGTGGGAAGAGGGTACCTTTAGAGGCAGTGAATCTGATAACAATAGTACTCCAGCTTGGTTAATAGTAAACCCTGTGGAGCAGATCTATATGGTGCATCTGAGGTGGACAATACTGAGATTCTGTTTTGTAGTAACAATATTTAATAATTGAAACCTAGCATTTCTTGGAATGGTAAATTGAAATGAAATTTTCAAAGTATACCTTATGGATGGTGAGGTTCTTAAGTGTAAAATTGCATTTATAAAAATGAGAGTGTCTCAAAGATATTTTAACCCATTAATTGTTTCTTTCAATAGTATCCTAGTGACATTTACAAATAGGACAAAAACACCTTGGAAGAAAATATGTTGTTGTTGTTGTTGTTGTTGTTATGTGCCGTCAAGTTGGACCCACCTCATAGCGACCCCTCCTTGGGCTTCCAAGGCAGTATCACTACAGAAGTAGATTGCCCAACTTTCCTTCTGAGGAGTGGCTGGGGGGTTTGAATCGCCAGCCTTCTGGTTAGCAGTCAAGTGCCCTAGGCATTATGCTACCAGAGCTCCCTGCCATATATTAGGGCCCCAAAATTTGCCCCTAGTTTTTCCTTGAGGAACATTATAGTTTTAGGTTTCACATTTAAGTCTTTGATCCATCTGGAGTTAGTTTTTGTGTATGGTGTGAAGTACAGATCTTGTTTCATTTTTCTGCAAATGGATATCCAATTTTACCAGCACCATTTGTTAAACAATCTCTTCCCCATTTAATGGATTTTGACCCTTTGTCAAAGATCAGCTGATCATAGGTCGATGGATCTCTTCCTGGGTTCTCAATTTTATTCCATTGGTCTATGTGTCTGTCATTGTACCAATACCAGGCAGTTTTGACTGCTTGGCTGTACAGCAGGTTTTGAGATTCAGCAGTGTAAGACCTCTTATTTTGTTCTTCTTCTAAGACCTGCTTCTTCTTCTTCTAAGACCTGCTTATCCAAGGTCTCTTTCCTTTCCATATAAAGTTAGTAATTGGTTTTTCCATATCCTTAAAGAATCTTGAGGAATCTGGATTGGGATTGCTTTGAATATATACATTGCTTTGGGTAGAATTGACATTTTTAAAATATTCAATCTTCCTATCCACGAGCATTGTATGTTCTTCCATTTATGTAGATCTCTTATGGTTTTTTGAAGCAGTGTCAGGTCTTTTGTGTTCCTGGTAAGATTTATTCCCAAGTATTTTATTTTTTTGGTAGCTATTGTAAATGGTATTGATTTCCTTATTTCTTTTTCAGCAATCTCTTTGTTGGGCTATACAGTCTTTTGTTAAAGAGATTAGGCCTGTCACTGATGGATCTGACCAACTACCACAGCAGAAAACCTCTCAGCTTATATTGAAGGGGACAGAGAAAGAATATAAGGAAAGAATACCATCTGTCTCTTGGAATTCTACAGAAAGGAAACAGGCCAAAGGAGCTATATCTTTTGTCCTCCCAAAAAGGACCATCCCTGGAGCAGCTTGGAGAACAGCAGAACTGTTGGAAGGAAGCCAAGAAACAGAGCCTTCTCAGTTTCAAAAGATGAGGTTACAATCTTATGCATAACAAAAGGTGAGGCCACAGACTTCTAGGTTTCAAAGAGTCAGATCATTCCCAACTTGGTTCTGGAGTGTGGGGCTGCCATTAAGGCATGCCAGGGGAACAAGGCTGTGCTTAAAGCTGAGGGGATAGGACTGTGAGGGAAAGAACAGGGCCTGCCAGGGCTGAGCGGGTGGGTTTGCCATTCAGATGGATTAGGAGAACAAGGTTACCCAAAGTCAAAGGAGCAGAGCTGCTGTTCCAGTAGGCCTGGCAAGAAAAGCTGAAGCCCTGGACTAAGAGGGTGGCCAACATTCAGAGTCTGTAGGGCAGGGCCATTATCCAGATGGTACTTCTCACAGAGGATCATTTTCAAGCCTTGAGAGCTAATGTAAATTGTTCTGCTGGGTTTTGGACTTGCTTGATGCCCATCATCCTTTCTTTCCTTCCAATTGTCTCCATTTGTAATGGAAATGTCTACTTTGTGCCTGTTCTACCACTGTACCTTGAAAACAGATAATTTGTAATCTATATTTCATGATTCACAGAAGAAGAATAATTTTGCCCCAGGATGGACTATGTCTGAAGTCTCACCCAGGACTTCTGGTCAACATGGTGCCTTAGATACATGCACCGTAAGTGCCCTCTGACAAGAGACTCCAGAAACTATGTAATACTGACAATAAAAAAAAAAAAAAAAAGGAAAAGAAAATGACCTTGGATCCTAAAGCAACAAAAAGAGAGTTGAAGAAACAGAGCACCAAATGAAAGGAGAGGCAGAAAAAGGCCAGCAAAAAAACCCAGAAATTTACTTATTGATCATATCCTGTCTGCCTGCATGGAGCAGTGTGATCATTTTGGAAAAGCACTGAATGATAACCTGGAGTGAGGAACCCAGAAAACAGTGGCAAAGAAAGTAAAGCTGGTGGCACAGATTCTATGGAAACAACCCTGGAACGAAACAACAAGGTAGGCAAGATGCAGTCAGGGATGGGTCAGCCCTAAAAGAGAAGTATAGGGTGGTATAACTTTGAAAGCATGGAACAAAAGGAAAATGCCTCTAGAGCAAGCAAAACAGATTGGATCATCCAAGCTTTGGTAAAGGATAAAGCATAGACCAAGAGTGCACATGGAGTGATAGCAAGTAAAGGGGAGGAACAGAGGGCTCAGTGAGAGCTCCAGTTGGTGAGTGCAAGAAGGGAGGAACTGGAACAAGCAATCCAGGGACTGCTTGTCAGCAGAGGCACCCAGCCATTTATGTGGGAGCCATGCAATGAAAAGCCAACCCACAAAGTAACAAGAATAGACCCCTCTCAGAAATGGCCCTGCAGAAACAGTCATCCCACCTACAATCTGCATTAGTGTGCACCCTAAGGCACAGGCAAACAGAGCCAACGTTTGCAAAGCTGGCCACATCCACAAACCCCTCCCTGAGGCACAGATGGCTGGCACTTGTATGCCCAACTACAGCCTGACCCCCTTGATGGAGGCTCAGGCTTCTCACAAGCTGGGTACTCAAACTGTGTCCCACCCACTACCCCTCCTTGAGACACAAGAGGCCCGCACTGATGTGCAAAGCCAGTCACACCCACAACCCCTCCCCAGGTGCAAGTGGCTCACACTTTCAAGCCCAAGTCCAGCTACACTCACAACCCCCTCCCTGAGATGCAGACCCCAACCTCCCGGCCATGGTGGTACACACACACAACACCCACCCCAGTGACCAATGAGAATGATCCCCATACCCATGCCCTGGTGACCAGCTATATAGGCACTTCACCTCACCAGCAACACCAGATACATCCTGATAGGTGCTATCTGCACCTTTGCCAAATGATAAGCAGAAGATCCTAGTGCCTTTATCAAACATCCAACCAGCTGCCACTGCACATATCCCACACCTAAACAGTTCCTGCAGGCTGTCTGCACTTGCACTGAAACCCCTTAATACTCCATCACCAATTGAGATGACAATTTGTGCATACATAGCAAATCTACCTTGGATAGCAATCCTTCTCAGTGGATATAGAGTCATGCATTCCTGATCTCCAGAGAACTCAGTAACTGCTAGCACCAATCCAGAAGGACCCCATAGTCCCACAAGGACTGTGGAGGGGCCCTGACCACCCAACACTGTCACCTACTATAAATGAAAAAACCTGCTTCCACACCTCCACTCAATCCAGTAAGGGAAGAAGACATATGAGCCTAACCACAGAGGACTTACATGTGGGTGTGATGCACCACACTCACTTATTGTTGTTGTTGTTATGTGCCATGGAGTCAGACCCAATTCATAGCAACCCCTCCTTGGGTTTCTGAGGCAGTATCACTATGGAAGTAGATTGCCCCACTACACTCAATAGTGAGAGGAAATCACGTCTAGCCACCACCAAGGTCACACATAGACCAGAACCACAAAACAACAATTAAAATAACACAAACGAAGAAAGACATTCTAAAGTGAAAGAGAAGAAACAAAACTCCTGATATATCAAAAAAAAAAAAAAAAAAAAATCAGCACAAAACAAGCATTCATACAATCAATAACCAAAACCAAATTCACTGCTGTCAAGTCAGATTCGACTCATAGTGACCACCCCTTGGGTTTCCAAGGTGGTATCACTACGGAAGTATATTGCCCAACCTTTCTTCTGAGGAGTGGCTGGTGGGTTTGAACCACCACCCTTCTGTTTAGCAGTCAAATGCCTTAGGCACTATGCTACCAGAGCTCCTCACAATCAATAAAGAAATGTATTAAATAATATGTTAATACCTTGGGCACAGCAGACTATAACAAATCATATGAAGAAACAGGATAACATGTCTCATATCTCAAACAACCTGCACCAAGTCACTCATGCCTAGACCTGCCACCCCCTAGCAGATGGAAACTGTTTAATAAACCTTGACTTGGGGCCAAGGAAAATAGGAAGTAGGAGAGGAAGCTACCAAGCCACTAAACAAGAAGGAACAAGAGAAACAATTCTAACAAATTATATAAGCTAATTTTTTTCCAACTTGCCATTCAAAATGATCATCCTTCAAAATAAAAATTTCCAAGCCCATGAAAAAATTGAATGCTCAGTGGGATAGCCAACTTAAAAAATAGAACAGTTCAGGTGAAATTAATTTTATAAAACAACCTAAAAAAAAAAAAAACTTTATCCTCTGGGACTACTGGAGTACGGGAATCAATAGATAAAATAATATTGGCCACAGGTTAATAATCATTGATGCAAAGGGATCTCTGCTTTTGCATATATATGAAATTGTCCATAATAAAAAGATTAAAACTATTATGTTTAGGGTTCTCAAAGAAACCATATCCATAAAGAAGACCATGAAAAAAAAAATGAAACAAAGGAAGAAGTGAAAAAGAACAGATGGACACACAAAAATAATTTGAAAACTATGGGAAACATAAAAAATTTAATACACTTAATAGGAAAAAGTGCTAACCTAGAAATTTTGGGGAAAAAGTTCCGAGGAACTTACAAAGAACACAAAATAGAAATGAACAGATTTTTTTGTTTGTTTGTTCAAAATGGGAAGTGTAGGCAAGGCACAAGGAGGATAGATTAAGGGTCTCCAAAATTAATATATTTAAAATAATCATATCATCTCCCTGAGTTCAGGATTATTTTGTAAGAGCCAGAATTTCTAGGGACCATTCTTAATTTTGAGGGTATACTTTGAAGGACAAATAGCACACCCTCTAATAAAATGTCTGTTATATACAATTTTCAGAAAAAGGAGATGTTATTTAACAAGATCTTTTACTCTTATGTACCTCAATATCATCCTTATTTTTAAGAAGTGGTGCTTCCATAATATTTCTAAGACAAAAAGAATCAGATTCCACATCAAATGGAGTTGCAGTTAACTCAGAGATTCGATCCCAGTGTCTCTGTTTCATTGCCTTATTGGTCATCATTTCTAGCAGAGGACATGACTCACTGAAATCATCAATTCTTTTTTTGAGATCCAAGAAAGCTTGCCAATCTTTAAGTCCTTTTGGAAGTTTACGACATCTTTCAGAAAAAAGGAAAAATAAATTATTTCACCTATATATTTCTTTGAAGAAAGTTTTATGTATGTACAAGAATATATCCCCACTGCCACTGAATTGATTACAACTTACAGTGACCCCCATTGGGTTCCAAGGCTGTAAATCTTTATAGAAGTAGATTACCTCTTCTTCCTCCCGCAGAGCAGCTGATGAGTTTGAACTGCTGACCTCCTGGTTAACAGCCAAATGCTTTACCCACTACACCAACAGAGCTCCTTATCTTAAGAGGATAGAGACCATATAAAGGTAAGCTTAACTCAATTGTAACTGACCTGTTTTGAAATTCCTGAAGTTCTGCATTAATTTTTTCAATATCTACATCTCCCCAAAGCATTTCATAATAACCACTAATGTTGCCCATTACAGTATCATACAGTCCGTACAGCTTCTGCAACAAGTTGAGTTCCTTTCTAGAAAACAAAATAATTAAGTTCCATTATTGGATAGCCAGAGCTGATCCAATTAAATATTTCATACATTATGAGTATGATATCTCACAGACAGTATATGCATAAAACTGCATGAATTTCCAATAGAAAGATTTTTAAAGCTCCATCAATAAGGTCAAGTTCAGCTCTCAAATATTCTAAAATCATATTATGACTTAATATTAACAAATAGTTTAATTATTTTCTAAAGGAAAAATCTCTGGGTTTTAATGTTGTTGTTGTTATTGTTGTTAGGTGCCGTCAAGTCATCTCTGACTCATAGCAACCCTATGCAGAGCTGAATGAAACACCACCCAGTCCCGTGCCAGCTCGGTGATCCCTGCTATACTTGAGCCCATCACGGCAGCCACTGTGTCAATCCATCTTGTTCAGGCCCTTCCCCTCCTTCATCAACCCTCCACCTTACCAAGAACGGCATCCTTCTCCAGGGAATAGTCCCTTTTGACAACATTACCAAAGTAGGTGAGACAAAGTCTGGTCATTCTCACTTCCAAGGAGCATTCCGGCTGCACTTCCTCCAGGACAGATCTGTTAGCTCTTTTAGCAGTCCATGGTACTTTCAGCATTCTTCTCCAGCACCACATCTCAAGAGCATCAATTCTTCTTTGGTCTTCTTTATTCATTGTCCAGCTCTCACATGCATACGAGGCGACTGAAAATACGGCTTGTGTCAGGCGCACCTTAGTCTTCAAGTAGACATCTATGCTCCTTAGCACTTGAAAGAGGTCCCTTGCAGGTGACTTGCCCAGTGCTATATGTCGTCTGAAGTCCTGACTGCTGCCTCCATTGGCGTCGATTGTAGAACCAAGCAATGTGAAGTCTTTGACAACTTTGATCTCTTTTCCATTCATCGTGATGCTACTTACAGGTCCAGGTGTGAGGATTTTTGTTTTCTTTATATTGAGATGTAATCCATACTGCAGACTGTAGTCTTCAATCTTCATCAGTAAGTGCTTCAAGTCATCCTCACTTTCAGCAAGCAAAGTTGTGTCATCAGCGTATCACAGGTTGTTAATGAGCCTTCCTC